TTCTTTTTTTTTCAAGTTTAACTTCCTTAGATTGCACACATGAGATCCTACGGTACTTGTCATTCTCTGTCTGACTTATCTCACTTAGCACAATGTGCTCAAGTTCCATCCGTGTCGTTGCAGATGGCAGGACCTCCTCCTGTATTGTGGCTGGATAATGTTCCAACCACAATGACTGTGTTATGTCTTACAACTCTGACAGGGCTCACCCAGGGGATTCTCCCTTTGGGTTTCTAGTGCACTTGCAATCTGACGATGGCCCTGGGTCTGGAGTCGTTGCAAAGCCTTCCCCACTTACACGTTTAGCAGTTGAGGATGGCTGTTGCCTGGAGCTTCAGCTTGGGCGGTTGTCCAGAATACCGCTATGCGGTGCTGTAACCGAAAGTGGGTTCCGGCTGCTCCCATTTCCTTGAGACCAGTTCTCAGAATTGTGGCAGTTTATGTCATGGCTATAGTCTGGTCCTCATGTAGTTAACTTCTTCCACCTAGTGGGAGTTTCAATATCTACAATAGCCACTCAAAGGATATGGGTCAGAATATTATCTATAGCCCTTGAGGAGAAACTAAAGGTCCTTGACTTTGCTTAATGACTAAACTATTATTGTTTGGTCTCCTTTGACTATTTTCATTTGTTTCTGCACTTTCTTACTTCTCTGATTAAACTTATTCTTTGGCTAAAATTTTTCCACAGACAAAAGGCAGGCTGAGGACGTGGTGGTCGGGAGGACCATAGAGGGTCCTGCTCTGTTTCAGCCTCACTTCTTCTCAGCTTAGAGGCTGAGTTCCAAAAGCAAGCATCCCAAGAACTTCTCAATGTAGGCGGAAGGTACACTGATTTTTACGATTGTAGCAAGAGATGTCACATTGGTTGAAATCATGTTCAAGGGCAGTGGGCACAGACCTTTATTCTCAATGGCAAATGTCAAAGAAATTCAAGTTCACATTTTTAAATTGACGCTAAAATTTTGAGGGAATGAGCAAATCACTATCCATAATGCAGTACATTCTATAATAAAATTGGCCTAGACTCTTCAATAAATGAATGCCACAGGGAAATGAAAACGAGCAGACGGACAATTCTTTAACAAAAGACACCAAAGCAATGTTGAAAACAAGACAACAGGCCCCAAATAGATTCACTTGTGCTAAGCTCCATGTCGCCAAACCAAGACTTAATTTAAGACAATTACAGTTTTGGCTCTCCCAGAATTGGAATGTATATATTTTTTTAGATGTTGGGGGGTAGGAGTTTATTTATTTATTTTTGCTGTGTCGGGTCTTCGTTTCTGTGCCAGGGCTTTCTCTAGTTGCGGCGAGCGGGGGGCCACTCTTCGTGGTGCGCGGGCCCCTCACTGTCGCGGCCTCTCTTGTTGCGTTGCACAGGCTCCAGATGCGCAGGCTCAGTAGTTGTGGCTCACGGGCCTAGTTGCTCCGCGGCATGTGGGATCTTTCCAGACCAGGGCTCGAACCCGTGTCCCCTGCATTAGCAGGCAGATTCTCAACCACTGCACCACCAGGGAAGCCCCAGAACTGGAATCTTAAACCAGTCAATTAGGAATTGTCTGATAAGAACTAGATAGGTCATCTGCCTGATAGATTCCTACAATCCCTTAAAGGAAAGTAACTTTGCAATAACCAACCTACTTTTTTTTTTGCCTACAACAACTTCCTTGTTCCTGCTCCTTTCTGCATATAAAAGTCTCATATCTTGTAAATCTCCTTGGAACTCCTCTCTATCTGCTAGATTGGATACTGGTTTGAATCAATTTTTGCTCACACTCTTAAGATTTTTCATATTCCTCAGTTTATCTTTAAAGAGTGACAGTCACCAAATGCAAAGTGTAAACTTTGATTAGATCCCGGATTGAGGAGGCCAGGGGTTCTAAAGGACATTTTGGAAAGATTTGGATGTAAAATATATCTTAGAATATCTATTAAATTATTTTGACTTTCTTAGATTTATTTATATATGCAACTTCCTATTCAATGCATTCAGAATAAAAGGTAATAGAAAGCAAGAGAGAGAGGGTAAAGGATATGTGGGAAAATTGTAATAATTGTTACATCTAGGTGAGGAAAATACTGGTGTTGAACGAACTGTTCCGGAACCTTTTTGTAAATGTGAAACTTTCCCGCATAACTGCAGTTTTAAAGTTGCAGCTGCACATTATAGTCACAAGGTGGCGATAGACTCACTTTTGAATTTGTATAAGGACACTCCTGTGAAAGGAGCGTCCAGAAAAAAATATTTTTTAACATAACATCCTCAAATGCTGGCTCTAGGAGGAAAAATGTAAAAATCCAAGAAGGCAAAAATCACTGAGAAAATTCACACCACAGCTGAGTAATTAAGATTCAAATAAAAACGCTGGAAATTGGAAGAAACACTGAAGTAGGAAGAAGCAAGGACTGATCCTTGCTTCAGGGAAAAACCTAGTTCTAGCCCTGGCTTCATCAAGGTCTAATTTTGTGACCTTACTCAAGTTGGCTATGAGTAGCTCTCACATGTAAAATGAGGAAAATATCTGAAGAGAAACTTGGAGAGCAATTTCAGTCAGAATGGGAATTCCATTTAGAGATTATGCCTATTAGAGGTCTTCGCTTAGAAATTTTTAGCCAGGTAGAAGTTACATAATTCCTAAAGTAGAACACTGAAAATTTTCCATGAAGCACAAAGGATAAATCCAGAGACATTCTGATTATGCAACATTCAAAGTTTATTTTGAAAGGACCCTAATAGATTGTCTTGATAGAGAATGCAATTTGATTCATATACCTGGGTGATCATATTTGGGTTCTAGCCCTATTAGTGGATCACCTTTTAAATGTTGACAAATCATTCTATGCTGCTTATATTATCATTTGAAAATGGTCTTTTTAGAAAAACTGCTCCTGTAACTCAGCCACCTTGCTGAGGTTCCAGGCAATCAGCAAGCACATACATGCGTGACAAAGGCTTTGAGCTAACCCGAGTCCCAGTCAGCATCTCATTCCAACTGCACTAGAGACCGCCAGCAAGAGCCACCTAGGTAAGCTCATTCAGTAAACAAATTTGATTTTATAATTATTTGTTTATTTTTCAGGAAATATTTATTGAGCATCTGCTATGTGCCAGAACCATGCATTGGCTAACAATACTAAGAAGGTATTGATCTCATGGAGCTCATATCCCCATGGAAAGGGCCTAATAATAGCAATAGTGGTAATCAAATAATAACAATAATAAAATGATAAGTAGATAAATAATTATCTAATTTCATATATTATGAAGGAAATAAATAAGGTGTTGCAAAGGGACAAAATGGATAAATCTGATTGATATACAACTTTCTTTTGTTCTGTTTTGCTTGGTCGGAAGGGAACAAGTGTAGCCACAAAAACACACACACACACACACACACACACACACACACAAACCAAGTAAGTCCACAAGAGGGCAGAATGGAGTTAATCACAAACAATTGCAGATGTAAACTTTCAGCTGCTGCCAAGGGGTAAACTAAAGGCTATGACCACCAGATCAGGTTACTTCATGAGTTTATAGGTGTTTAGAACTTAAAAATTTTTATAATTATCTTTTTACTTGCACTTCTTGGATTTTCCTTTCCCACACTGCTTGGTATGAAAGTCAAAAGTTATTCCTTTTTACCCATACTAGCATTATAAAGGAAAAGAATCTGATTGCTGGCTACCTAAACATGTGTGGATCAGAAAAAAATGGTTAAACAAACCCCTAGGCTTATGCATCAAGAATGCTTTATTTTTAAATTTTTCCCACCATAAGTGTTTTTCCATGATACTTGCTTTTTTTAAAACTTGAAGTACAGTTGATTTAGAATGTTGTGTTAGTTTTGAGTGTACAGCAAAGTGATTCAGTTATACATATATATATATGATTTTTCAGGTTCTTTTCTATTATAAATTATTACAAGATATTGAGTATAGCTCCCTGTGCTATACAGTAGGTCCTCGTCGTTTATCTATTCTATATACAGTAGTGTGTATATGTTAACCATGATACCTGCTTTTTAGCCCACACTGTGCATATTGAAGAGCTCTGTGGAATGGGTGGAGCAGGAAGGTAAAACAGAAGGAAATGAACTTCAAATTCAAACACATGGCATAGGAAATAAACAGAAGGAATCTCACTGGTCCAGTCTGGCATGTGTTTTTAAAAAGTGAACACTCAAGAGATCTATCAGAATAAACACATCTCTTCTGTAACTTCAGCTTCCCCAACTGCAGAGTTGAAAAATATATCACATTTTTCCATTAGAATAATGAAAATTTTGATTACATATTTCCTACAGTGTGAGCCATAGAAAGAAGAAAACATAGAAGGAAAATAAAAAAGCAATGAGGAAATTAAAATGGAAAGAGTTAAGGTCCCTTCCCAAACTCCTTTAGTAATGGGTCTCTGATATGAGTCAAGAGAATGGATTTTAATCAGTGTTCTGCCACAACCCAATTGTGTGATGATATTGAAAAAAAAAGCATAGGCTGTGGGAGAAGCAGAGGACTTCAGAAATCATTTACTAAAGTTTTTCTGGAGGTGAGCGAAGGCATAGAGGGGATGGATGAAGTCTACAGGATTAGAAACCATTTCCCTTAGCTGGTCTGGGCTTTGTTCCATAGAGAATCACTGTCTCTTAAAATGAGGTGTTTTCTTTATGTATCTGTTTTCCCATTTATTGAATGAGGAGATTAAACTTGAATGTCTGTAAGACTAACAACAGTTAGAATTCTCAGTGTTTGTTCCACTTTGTACCACAAAAAGGCCATGCTAAGAGTATATACAGTTAAAATGAGAGAGACCTGAAATGGAAATTAAAGAATTGGAGAGGGGGGACCTCCCTGGTGGCACAGTGGGTAAGACTCCATGCTCCCAATGCAGGGGGCCCAGGTTTGATCCCAGGTCAGGGAACTGGATCCCACATGCATGCCTCAACTAAGAGTTCCACCTAATAAATAAAGATTAAAAAAGAAATGGAGAGGGGATGTGTAGTCAAGTGGCAGAACATACTTTATTTTTGACAGGTTTTAGTTCTTTTTGACAGATCCATTTATTTTCTGTAGCACAGTTCTCGGAAAGAATTTGTGTTCTTGAGATGCAAACACAACTGTTTTCTTCAGCGTGACCAGTAATTTGTAACCTGTGGAGCAGAAGAAAAGCCTCTCTTTAGTGTTTGTGATTTTCTCACGTAATTCTCCTCATCCAGCCAGTATGTTCTGTAATTTTCAGTAAACAACGAGGTGCTGGTTATTAAGCATGGAATAAGTACCCAGTCACAAATATAATGATATAAACTTTTAATAGAAAGCTAATATAAACCTCTGGAACTTGCAAACTCATCTTCACTGGAAAAGAATTGTTCTGAAAAGAAATGTCATAATGATACATACAAAGGAGAAGCTTTGGAAACTGGGAATTGAATCTCCTATTAACATGTTATATGAAAATTTCCTACCTTCACTGAGCCTCGATTTTCTTAAATATATAGTGTATATATATTTGGGGAGACATTGAGATCATGTATATGAAAGGGTGATCATGCTTAAACAAAGAATGTGTTCAGTAAATGTAATAAGTACGTAGATACTCAGTGTCTACAGAATTTGAATATATCAATAGCGAGAAAAGGAGGCTCAGTACGTATTGTATGTAGTAGGAGGTTCCCTTTTTTTCCATTCCAAACAGGTTGGTGAGTGTCTGCTACAATATATGTACTGTTAGTTCCAAAGAAGCAGAGTCTTATGGCTCATTGCAGGTGGGGCATGAGTAGAAGTTAAACAGTGGGATGGCGAGATAGAGCTGGGGTGCCAGGATGGGGTGTGTGCAAGACATTCACCTATTTGTCTCAAGTAGAAAGTGAAGTGGTGGCAGTGGGCAGGGCTCCATCACAGTTTTAATTTTTTCCTTTGTTCCATTTCTCCTTGGAGCCCCTCGGCCCTGAGAAGCCAACCTGATTCTCTCCTAGTGCCTGACACCCTAGTCAAATCAGAATTTCTCTTGACCAAGCTATTGCAAAGGTCTCCTGTATTTTATCTCTTCCACCCTTCTGGTCCTTCCTTTGAATTTCAAGATAACTTTTTTACCGCTCATCTGGCCAAGTGCCCTTCCAAAAGGCCCTAGGTGACTTCCCAGGCCTTCTTTGACCAGATCTCTGCCTAGTTGTCTAACATTATCTCATTTAATCCCCAAAACAGTCCTGTGAAAAAAATTATTAACACCCTTTATGTTTTTCTTTACCTGAAAACCAAGGTAGAGAACTAAAATAAAAGCAGAGTCTAACTGACGTTCTTTCTACTATAATATGATACCTTCCAGGTTTACCTGATCACTATCTTAATCAAATCATCATTTTTATCCTCAGAATAAAATAGAGTGTTCAATCGAATTTAATCCATCATCTTTGCCTATATTTCTGCTCATAGACACTTCAGAGTTTTCCAGTTTTATTATAAATCTTAATAAAATAAATGTAATGGCCCAGTAAGAAGCATACACACACACAAACCAAAATTAACCTTTACTATGTACAAAAAAAAAAGTAAGTTAATATAAAAGTTGCACTTATGTGTAAATAAAATATAGAAAATAATCCCTAGAAAAACAAAAAAATCAGAGTGTAGTTTATTTACCAAAATATGTTTGCCTTTTCATACATTTATTCTAGTCCAGAACACTTTATTTTAAAATAATCTTCATTTTAAAGTACGGCATCTAAAAAAATATTTTAGAACATGGGTCAAACAATGTCAAAATGTGCTAATTAAATCAACATTTCTTTTAATGTCTAATAATTTTCCACACAATAAATTATTACTATATTTTAGATAAACTTGAACATGCTCCTGTGTCTTGAATTTTAACCTCTTGTTTTTTGAATGATAAAAAAATCCATTTTAACTGTTATTTATACAAATGTGAATAAAGCATTCACAGACTCAAAAAATGTAACACAGTATCATCTGTTCTGAAAAACTCATCAAATTTCTTTTCAGAAACTTGGTTGAATGTCTGCACACTTTCACTTTCTAGGGAAAAAAATGTCCTGCCCTTTGTTGTACAAATAACGATGAGGTCCATTAAAAATTTATAATTTAACTGTGTAACATCAATCCTCCTATAACACCGATGGTTAACTTGACCATCTCACACAAGAAACTATGAGACAACCAAAAAAACGGCAAATAGCTCTTTTGTGGCTTATGCAGATTGACTACATCTCTTCAAACAACCCTCCTTTCACACCGCTGGTTAAAATAAGCTACAATACTTGTTACAATGTGAGTAGTTTCTCTCAAATGTCTGGATACCCCACGCTGATATTTACTATATTTTTTCCTCTTGTATTCATTGTGCCAATGCTGGTTGTGACCCACTAAGGTATGTGGTCCCACAGTTTGAAAAACACTACTTAAACAATTCTTCGTGCCGATAGCTTCCAGCTAGAAATTTCTTAATTTTTAAATGTTGTTATTTTAAAAACTGTTTCATGTGCCCCCACCCAAAGGAGTTAGTCTCTTCTTTGTCTCCTAAAACTCCATTGCTGGTAAAAATATATATTGTTGCAAAGGGTTGATGTCTTTTCATATGTGAAACTTTTCAACCAACTTCAGAATCATTCTTCTTCTCAGACTATTCTGATCCTCCTGAACATTTCTAAACTAAATTAAAATGATAAATCTCAATCTTCAATAACAATGTTACTATCTTGCCATGTAAACCTGATGTAAATTGAATATTCAAATTAGCTTATCCCAATACTCACATATGAGAATTTAAAAAGGATCCATTTATCCACTTCCAGTTCTTTTCTGATAATGTAAAATTTAATCCAATCCAAAACAGAATTGCTCCTTTGTCTATCCAGTTTTGTATGAGCCTCTATAAATAAAACAGAAGAAATGACTGAATATTGAATCTGTTTATCTATTACTGGTTTGCATCCTTCTACCCATCCTCTCTGAAGCCTTTCCTAACTCCCCATCGGAGTTAATTATTCCTTATTTGTGATATTTCTGTCTGTATATTTATATATATCCAAATATTTGTATTTATGTTGTCGTGTTCATTAAATTATATTTATTTTGCTTACATGTCCGTTTAGTGTCTCAGATTGTGAGCTTCTTGAAGTCAAAATTAATACTTCCATCTGCACAGAACCCTCCGGGCTAAAGCACAAAGATCTTGATATGGTTAGAAGCAAGGGCTAAGCCGTATTAAAGTATTTTACTTAATTATTTACCAATTCTTCCTGATCTTGAATAAGCAGCAGACAGGATTCTTTTGTGAAACAGTCAGCTAGACTGTCATTCCAAGGTTTGTAAGTGTCATAAAAAAACAAGCATTTATCTCGGATTCGTTGCCAGTTTGTTGGGCACTTTAACAGAACTGGTCTCTCTAAAGTAAGAAAGAAGAAGAAGAAGAAATGTTATGTTTCTAACCTGCCCCCCCACCCCACTAACACTAATCACACATGCACAAGTCATTATAAATTCAGGGAAGTCGTTGATCATCACAGTGAGAACAATTCATGAATTTAATATAACTTTGAGGGTTTTGAGACATAGTTCATTCTGGTACTAAGAGTTGAAAATTAGTGACAAGTTAAAACACTGACAGACAGAATAACTTGTTCAAGTCCACAAAAAGCAGATGCTGGTAGAGTCAAAACTCTTTCTGAGATTCCGTAAATCCATTACAAGTGTTCTTTCTACTCCATGATGACAATATCAAACTTCTCTAAAAAATGGCTACTTTAAACAACATGTAAAATGAAAAGCAAATAAAAATTCATTTCCATAAGTTAATGGCAAATACCATGGAGAAAAATTATAAGAAAATTTCTAATTGCTGAATTATATATTTGCCTATTAATGGGATCTATTGGATAGCATTTTCCAGAAGGATTTTCATAGTTTCTTAAAATTTCTGTTATGTACGAATGTATATAATAAATGATTACATTCTGCTACAGTCACTCAAAAATAGTGTCTTTATTAACACACACTACTTAATAAGTACATGGACGAGATCAATGTCTTAGTGTTTAATACAATAAATATTAAATTATTCATTTTATGTCATGTTCCATTAATTAACTTCGGACCAGAGTTAGCTGCTTGACATATTCATTAAAATCATCAAATATCCCACTTCAATGCATATTTTACTTTATAGCTTGGGTTTTGGCTATTAATTATTGAATATCCTAGCAGCAGTCTCTCATAAGGCAGTGTTATCTGTTGGTTAAGATCGTAGGCTCTGAAGTTAGACCACTGAAGTACAATTCCCAGTGTCACCACTTAGTACCTGTATGACCCTGGATGAGTTGCTTAGCCTTTCCATGCCTCAGTTTTGTCAAACATAAAATCAGAGCGATAATACTATCTTAACGTATGGGTTGTTATGAACCTTAATTAAGATAATGCATGATACCTATCAAATTTTAGCCATTATTCTTAGGAAAGTCAAGCCACAGAATATACCTGTTGTTTCCTTCCTGTTCTCTTGAGCATCCATGCTGCTTTTCTCTGTTGATTTTTGTCTCAAGAATATCACTAATAAATCAGGAGAAATCATTAAGAAGATTAATGCTGAATGGTGCAGTGAAATGAATATGTTATATTTATCACTTCAGGAAATTTTTATCTCAACAAGCTTGAAATGAACAGAAGATAAGAGCAATAGCAGTGTAGTAACAAAGCGTCTACTTAGAAGACAACATAAACAAACACACACATAACAAGTGAATGCACACAGACATTGACTTAGCGGTTTCAACTATATAAGTAAGCTCCCAGGTGTTACTTAAACTCTTAAATTGCTTCCACTCCTTGCCTAATGTTCCATCTTCAGAATAAGTATAATTGTGCCTATACCCCACGGGAGAGATTGCCTAGGACAATCTGGAATTTAGTAGGCACTTAAGGAACTGTAAATAATTGGAAATTTTTATTTTCTTTGCTATTGTCATGATTTTATCATAATTGTGACTTTTTAAATGTCCTTGGAGCACATGTGAAATCCCCCGTGAAGCCTATCAGAACAGTTAGGAAGAGAAATACGACAAAGGATGACATTTGCTTAGTAGGTACCAGCTGAGCACTGTTAGAGTACTGTTTCATAATTGTTTTTGTTTCATGGGTCTTCCACTAAATTTGGGATGGCCAAATGTTGACATACTTTAATATTTATGGTAAAGTAGAATAAGTAGAACAAGAAATCAATGATCTTGCATCACTTACCTGAAACACTCAGTCCAATCACAGTCAAGGCAAGAAGAATAATCCCAGCACAACCAAGTTTCAGAGCAAATTGATGCCAAGGTGGACCCTGACAAACATCTGAGACATTAAGAAAATATACTTGATTAATTCAGTTGAGTTCATCTAATACAAAAAGCAGAGGTTGTTTGGATCACATAAGAAAGAGCTAGATTCAGGTTGGGGGTAGGGGCAGGAAAGGACATTTATCAGCCATCTTAAAGTAGGGTCCCACAAGATGGAATCTCAGACCCAACTGAGAGTTGCTTATAGATAAAATAGAAATATTTATGCCTGTCTTGTGTACGAAGGATTGGTATAAGAATCAAATGAGATAGATGTGACGGTGTTTTGAAACATGCCAAATGCTATACAAAAATGAAACATATACCCTACCGTACGAAGTAAGTCCAAGAATTTTGTCCAACAAGGAAGGCCTTCATTCATTCAAGATATATTTGTTGAGGCTCTGTTTTATGCCAAACAACATGTTAGGTGCTGGTGGTATAAGACAATTCTATTCTTAGACGTGGATTTCTCTGCTTTACTGTTGCCTGGAACAATCATCTCCAATTTGGACCAAATGGATGGAATTCAAGGAAGAGTATTTTACGAGCTTGCATGTTATTTTCAGTATTTCAATGAATATAACATAACATGAACCTGTGTCTACAACATTGCATAGTCTAAAAAATGTCAAATACCTTTGTTTTTCTCTGTATCATGTCAATAACGATGTACTGTATATCTCGTGTTCATCAAAAGTTGTGATTGTATTAATTAAAGTGGGATCATAAATTAATCATAACCTTATCAATGGATTTTATAGGGAAAAATAATCAAAGAGGAACTTATTAATGTAAAAAATTCTTGGAAAAGACTGAGCAACAGCTTCCAAAATTATATCAGCTCTGACAGAAATTATTCTGGTAATCTGTACTTCAGTTATTCTACTTGAAATTGTGCTTAGACAACTTCTATACCTGACTTAATTATAAGACCCCTTTTATTCCCATTTGGTTTATAATATGTTATATATATTACAATTATAAATTACTTTCTAAATTGTATTATTAGAGCCAAGGGCCTTTACAAGTAAGGGTTTACTAATTTAACTATATCTATCATTTATTTATGTTATCTACTCCTTTTTATATTTTTTCTAGTATTCCTCAATATAAAGGAATACATGCTTTGAGTCACTTGTTAAAAACTTTAGCATCAGATATGTTAAAATGTTGTCTTTATTCTCATTAAATGTTCCAGAGTGACCCACAAATCCATTTCTACTTTAGTTTTTTACACTCTCCCTGGCGATTAAGTTTTGCAACCCAGTTTTCAGACAACTGCTCATGGTCTCTTCATTAGGATGTGGACATTCATAAGAGTTAGCTCTTTCTAAAATGTCCCTGGGGAGATGGAATTTAAGATAACTAAATGTGATAAAAGATTATGCGAGGAAACAGATAATAGATTAGATTTCAGGTAGTGACACCTGGATTATCATCCGGAGGGGAGAGAAAAGAGTAGACAATTAGAGGAGCTCCAAGGTCCTGGGTGTACATCCGAAAATGGGAGAACCAGACTGGAGAATATTGACCTAGAACTTCTAAGGCGAGCTCGTGTGACACAGAGCAACTAAACTTAGTGAACCTAAGACTAGTCCTACGTGACGTTTCCTCACAGTTGTATCTACTATTCTACCATTTTTTCTTCCTCAGCCTTTCCTCCCTTGAAATTTTGAAAAATGGAGAAAACCCCATATAGTCACTATTTTAACATTTAGTACTGAAGGATAGCAGTGGTTAAGAGCAGAGGCTCTCAAATCTAGCAGATTTGTATTAGAGCATGTTATTTCAGGCAACGTAACCTTCATAAACTACAAACTTCCTCACCTGTGAAATGTAGAATAATACTACTTCATGAGATTTTGCAAAGGGTTATATGAAATAGTTCTTCTAGACATGATGTGTGATACATAATAAACGTGCATCTAAAATTTAAAGAACTGAGTGGAGGGTTCTGTGTTGTTTTTCTGCTGCACTACATTAGAACTAATAACAACAATAGAGTTATCGTAACAATAGAGTTATTGTAACAATACAGTTACAATAACAAATTGAAGAGGCCAGGTAAACTTTAGTCATCTGGAAATACCCACATAAGGCTAGTTTTTTGTTTGGATACAAACAGTATGCCAAATCATCTCACTTTTTTTCTCTAAACCTTTCCATGGCTTTCTCTCAAGCAGATCTAAGTCTGTACGTCTGTAGAACAGCCTACAAATCCCTATTCATTCCGGCTTCCCTTTATGTCTCTAACTTCATCTCCTGCTGCTTTCCATGCAGACATGCTCTGTCATTTCACACTAACCTATGAGCTCTTTCTACAAGATGACAGGCACGTTCTCATCCCACGGATCTTGCACCTGCACTGGTCCATCTTTTAAAAGGCTCTTCTCCCAGGAAGCATACCTTTGTCTCTCAATTCTTTCAGGTCTTGACTCAAATGTCATCTTGTCAGGCAGGCTTCTATGATTATTCCATTTGATATCATACCCTCTCCAAAAGCTAACTCTCAATTCCATTTTTTAAAAAATATTTTCTCTATTGCACTTAATATTATCTAACACATATATGTATACATATATATTCTTAGTTATTCATTTATTTGTAAGCCTTCCTAGTAGTATAATATAAACGCAATAAAGGAAACTATTTTTTCACTACTTTATTCACTGTTGTATTCTCAGCACCTAGGGCATGCCTGACACAGGTGCTTATTTTTGGATGAATAAATAAACTCTAGAGGCATTTTTGCCAACACCTATCTACTTTTCTAAGAGACCAAATCCTGGGCCATAAACCAGATTCGTCACAACTCACATCTCTCTCTGGTTTTCCTGACTGCTTTTGATATAATCACTATTCTACAGTTACCATTTTGGCTAAACTGTTTAGCCAAAGAGCTTAGTGGTTGTTTCACAATAATTGTAATACCAGATCAATGTGTGGCGAAAGAATGTCACCTGCCATTTCAGTAAACAAAGGATGTTGCGACCTTAAAGCCACCAGCCAGTGTGGCTGCCCGGATAGTAAAACTTGAGGGGGATTCAGGATGGAGAAAAACAGGATGCTGGCCCTAGATAGCTAAGATGCATGTCAAAGGAATTATTTCAATGAACCCAGACTTTTGCATCTTCCCACATATAGAAAAGCACTAAAATCATTAACATGAGGTGTCTGTTTCTGTGATTAGCAGTAATCTTTTGATGTTTGACTACATTTTTTTTTTTTTTTTTTTTAGCCAAAGCTCCTGTATATCCCAGCTCCTCCCTTACCTCTTGGGGACATTTCCTCAGAACTATCAGAGAGGCTGCCTTCTCAGCTATAGTCCTCTGTAAAGCCACCAAATACATAATTCTCAACTTTTAGGTTAGGCATTTTTTTCAGTTGACAAGCGTTTTGTAGTCACACATTTTGTTCTGACTTTATTCTATGTTTTCTCAGATTTACTTTTAGAATGATATTTTGTGGAATAATGACGACAATTAGAATAGACAGATTTTCTGGCCTCGTTGATTTGGGATCACAGAGAGTAGCTTTTAAGGAAAATCTCGCTGTCTTTCTCTATTTTCATTCTCCAATATCGTCCAACACCATCCTCCTTTCTCTCCACTTCTGCTAGATCTGAATAGGGAACAGAAAGTCTTTCTCTTCTGCATCAAAAAATAACCGTGGCTTGACAAATTCTCACTGTAGTTATCAAAATTCTCCAATTTCCCGTAACCCCCAAATGAAGGGTATCATGAAACTATTTGATAACCCTAAGACTTTTCAATCTCCAATTTAGAACATTGATAACTTAATACTTTCAAATTATACCAAACCATCCTAAAAAGATACAACCCACTTGCCAAGCACACTATGGAATGAATATCAGGTTGGATAAAAATTGCAATATCATTGATGTTTAGTAAGTTTGGTTTGACTTCAGAATGTAATACTATGTCCTGATGAGTTTATACATTTTTTTCTGCTTAATTTGTAGTTTCTCTTTATCTATCCCCAGGCCATGGAATCCATCACCTATGACCTCACATTAGAATACCCCATCTCTTTCACTCAGAATACTAACTCCTCTGACATACAGAAAATTGCCAACTTCAACAAGTATGAAATAAGTGCATCAGTGGTATTCTCCTGTGGTTTGCAGCTTAAATCCTTCTAAACTGTTATACTTTTCAATTAAAAAAAACATCAGATTGTTATTATATCCAAGTTTTTCATCTTGAATATAATTTTCTTTCAGAACATTTTTTCCCTTCCCTTTGAAGGGTGAACGATGTTAATCATTGAGCCTACACTTTGTATTCTGAAAGGAATGCCACGGATGCAAATGCATTGGAACTTAATCACAGTATTTTATAGAGGGATTTGAAATAAGGTAGGTTACTATTACAGCAAGGTAGTAAAAAATCTCTAAAAATATTCATTTGTTAAAAAAAAAACAAAAGCAAAAACAACAAAAAAGGGAATTCTCTGGTGGTCCAGTGGTTAAGATTCTGTGCTTCCATTGCAGGGGGCACGGATTCTATCCCCAGTCAGGGAGCAAAGATCCCGCATCCCTCATGGTGTGGCAAAAAAAAAAACAGATAAAAAAATCAAAATATTCCCTTGTTAATGCATGTAAAATATTTCTTCAGGATCCTTTAGCCAAGGCTCAGTAATAGGAACTATACTCATTTTTCACAAAAGTATCTTGATAAAAAAGAAATCTATAAGGTATGTGCTTTTTCCCACATTTGTGATTACCTACCGACAGGCCATGCTATATCTATTTAACATTAATATAGCTGCTGCTCATCTTCAAAGCCATGATTTAAAGCTACAAATTCAAGAGAAAAATCTAACTATGGAAGATATACAAATGCCAAAAGGAAAAGTAAAGCCACTTACTCTGAGGAAGAGATGGGGGTGATGAGCTTTCAAGGCCAGCATTCCTGGATACGTTTAAATCAGCATATATCACCGGTCTGTCCATTGCAAAGAGAAGAATGTGGCACTAAAATTGCGTAAAAGAAAAAACTACAGTTCTATGAGGCAAGTGAAGCAAAAGGAAGTGCTCAGCCTTGAAAAGCTTTATTATCTTTCTTACCTACCCACACTTCTAGCAGTGGGTTTTCTCTATAAATTAGTGAGAAAATCCACTTACTGGCTGTCCAGTATACTTAGATATGTAATATCTACTTTGTTTAATTAATTGGCCTGTTTGACAGAATTCTGGGAAGGTTTGTTTGTTGTCTTTGTAACCATCCTCTTTGAGTACGTTTCTCAGGGCCAGGCCCAGCGTCAGGGAAATGAAGCACTCTCATTTCCCTCCAAAAAAGTCAGGAGTCAAGATAAACAATATTAAATGTAATGCTGTAAAAAGTAAACACTAATGCAAAAAAACTGCAGGATGCCTTTCCAAAGCTCTAAAGTCTTCCTGAAATATTTGTGCTCCCCCCAAAAGAGGCAAAATGTGGAAAATGGAGTCATAAGTGTGGAAAAGGCTGCTGAATAATACAACAGAGAAAGCAAAGAGCTAAAGATCAAAACGACTCTTCGCTTAAAATAATGTTTTTAGTGCACTGAAGTTTAATTTCAAGTTATGAAGCATGACTATGACCACTAGGAATCCACAGTGGCCATGTTAGAAACGATTGAGGAAAAAGTGTTCCCTTCAACCAGAAGCTTGCAAAACTTTGTGAGCTCCAAAAGTATAAACTGGCTAGAAATATAAACCAAAGAAGAGCCTTCACTTGTCCATATGTAGTACGAAATATATTGATGAATCCTTTTCTTTGTTACAACTGTCTTCACAATGATCTTCTATCACAAAAGATCCTTACTATGAAATCGTTATTGTATACATATAAAATAAATCCTTCATGAGAATTCACACCTGGAGAATTTTTCTCATTATGTTAATGCATTCATCGATCATCTAATTCCCTACATGACACTTTCTAAACACAACATATCAGAATTCAGAAATTTACTGTCACTATTATAGATAGATAATAGAGAGATAGATACAGAATATACACACACACATACACACGTGCATGGGATATATACGTTATTAAAGTTTTCAGAGGGTAAATGATTATAAGTAACTGAGATTTAGGATGTGACAATAGTAGCTATAATATTGAATAGCTCAAGGAACAATAAAGATAGATTACTTTTTTTTTTTTTTTTGCGGTACGCAGGCCTCTCACTGTTGTGACCTCTCCCGTTGCGGAGCACAGACTCCGGACGCGCAGGCTCAGCGGCCCTGGCTTACGGGACCAGCGCTCCGCGGTATGTGGGATTTTCCCGGACCGGGGCACGAACCCGTGTCCCCTGCATCGGTAGGCGGACTCTCAACCACTGCGCCACCAGGGAAGCCCAAGATAGATTACTTTTCAATTTTATTTTATTTATTTATTTTTGGCTGCATTGGGTCTTCGTTGCTGCGTGGGCTTTCTCTAGTTGTGGCGAGCGGGGGTTACTCTTTGTTGTGGTACACAGGCGTCTCATTGCAGTGGCTTCTCTTGTGATGGAGCATGGGCTCTAGGCATGTGGGCTTCAGTAGTTGTGGCACATGGGCTCAGTAGTTGTAGCTCGCAGGCTCTAGAGCACAGGCTTAGTAGTTGTGGCACACGGGCTTAGTTGCTGCATGGCATGTGGGATCCTCCTGGACCAGGGCTTGAACCTGTGTCCCACTGCACCACCAGGGAAGCCCCAATAAAGATAGATTTTTGATTTTGCCTATGTCATCTATCTTGACATTGAGATTTGCTGAGTTAATAGTGGGAGTTTGAGTGGATAGGAAAATAGAGTAAAATAAAAACAAAGTTAATTTTGAATATGAATAAGTACAATAGAGGCTATATTATGGCTACGACATGGAGAAAAGAGTGATAAGAGAATCATTTGTGCAAGAAGGTGAAAATACAAAAGGCAATAAGTGGTGATCGTAGAACAAGATAATCCACTCTAGACTTAGAAAATGGTGACTTTAGTAAGATGGCCGACTAGGAAGCTACACCCTCTTTATCCCACAGAGACGCTGAGTTAACAACAGTATGTGGACAGAATACCTTTGTGAGAGCTCTAGAGACCAGTTGAAAAATTACAGCACCCAGGCCTTTGCAAAACCAAGAAGAGATTCCAACAAAAGGGGTAGGAATCTCAGCATTTGGTGTGGAGGCACCAAGAAGAAACCTTGTATAGCAGGGATCCTCCTTTGAGATTAAAACAAGAGTGGACTGTATATCCAACAGCCTGGATTGTCTGGTGGCTACTCAAGGGACTGGTTTCTGTCTTGCCTGACACAGAGTGCTTATAGGACCAGAAGAAGTTTGGAAGCTAGTGAAAGCTGAAGCAAGGAGATGCAGAGCTGCAGTTCTGCAGGCAGACATGGGGAAAGCAAGAGGTGAGAAAAGGTTTGAGAAGTTCAGGAACCTCCAGCTGGGCTAACTGGTGAAAGGTCTTACTCTTCACAAAGGCTCTATACAAAGCCTAGGAGTGCCAATCCCAGAAAAAAAAAATACACACACACACACACACACACCCCCCACACAGAAACATGGCCCAATCAAAGGAACAAACAAAACCCCCAAAAACTGAAACTGATTTAAAAAAAAAAAAAAAAGTCAGATCTATGAGCTGCCCGACAAAGAATTTAAAGTAATTAGTGAGAACACAAAGAAACAACTTAATGAAGAGAATACTATGAATAATTGTATACCAACAAGTTGGATAACCTAGAGGAAATGGATAAATCCCTAGAAATGTACTAAGACTGAATCATGAAGAAGCAGAAAATCTGAACAATTCAACAATGGGTAAGATATAAATAGTATTAAAAAACCTCCTAACAAAGAAAAGCCCAGGACCAGACGAATTCATTGGAGAATTCTACTTGATATTTAAATAAAAATTAACACTAATTCTTCTGAAAATCTTCCAAAAATCTGAAGAGGATGGAACACTTCTAAGTTCTTTGAGACCAGCATTACCCTGATACCAAAGAGAGATAAAGACACTACAAGAAAAGAAGACTATAGACTAATATTCCTGATGAATATTAAAACAAAAATTTTCAACAAAATACTAACAAACTGAATTCAACGGCACATTAGAAAGCTTATACATGATGACAAAGTGGATTTATTTCTGGAATAGATGACTGGTTAGCATAGGAAAATCACCAATGTACTACCCCACATTAATAGAATGAAAGACAAAAACCGCATGATTATCTTAACTGATGGAGAAAAACCATTTGACAAAATTCCACACCCTTTTATGATAAAAACACTCAACAAACTAGGAATAGAAGGAAACTACCTCAACATAATAAAGGTCACTTATGAAAAGCCCACAGCTAACAGCACAATCAATAGTAAAAAACTGAAAGCTTTTCCTCTAAGGTCAAGAACAAGACAAGGACGCCTGCTCTCACCACTTCTACTCAACATGGTATTGGAAATCCTAGTCAAACCAGTTAGACAAGAAAAAGAAATAAAGACATCTAAGTTGGAAAAAAAAAAGAGAAGTAAAATTATCTCTGTTCAGAGAAGACATAATCTTATATGTAGAAAACTGTCAAGACTCCACACATGCAAAAATCTGTTAGATTAATAGATGAATTTGGCTAAGTTTCAGAATAAAAAGTCAATACACAGAAATCAGTTGCATTTATATACACTAATTAATGATCTGGAAAGGAAATGAAATTAACTCATTTGCAATTGTATCAAAAAGAATAAAATACTTAGAAGAAACCTAATTAAGGAGGTCAAAGACTTGTACACAGAAAAGTACAAAATATTGCTGAAAGAAATTAAAGAAGACATAGATACATGAAGAGTCATCCCATGTTCATGGATTGGAAGACTTAACATTGTTAACATGTGCATACTAGAACTACCATATGATCCAGCAATTCCACTCCTGGGTATATATATTTAAAAAAAATGAAAACACTAATTTGAAAAGATACATGCACTCCAATGTTTATAGCATCATTAATTACAGTTGCCAAGATATGGAATTAACCTTTACAGTTGCCAAGATATGGAATTAACCTAAGTGTACATCAGTAGATGAATGGATAAAGGAGATGTGGTGTATATATACAATGGAATACTACTCAGACATAAAAAGAATGAAATTTTGCCATTTGCAACAACATGAATGGACTTGGAAGGTATTATGCTGAGTGAAATAAGTCAGAGAAAGACAAATACTGTATGATATCATTTATAAGTGGAATCTAGAAAATATAATGAACTAGTGAATACAACAAAAAAGAAACAGACTCATAGAGAACAAACTAGTGATTACTAGTAGGGAGAGGGAAGGCAAGAGGGGCAAGGTAGGGGTAGGGGATTAAGAGGTACAAACTACTATGTAAAAAATAAACAAGCTACAAGGATATATTGTACAGCACAGGGAATATAGCCAATGTTTTATAACTATAAATGGAGTATAACTTTTAAAAATTGTGAATCACTGTGTTGTACACCTGAAACATATAAAAATTTTTTTTGTTGTTTTTTTTTTGTTTTTCTGCAGTATGCGGGCCTCTCACTGTTGTGGCCTCTCCCATTGCGGAGCACAGGCTCCAGACGCACAGGCTCAGCGGCCATGGCTCACAGGCCCAGCTGCTCTGCGGCATGTGGGACCTTCCCGGACCAGGGCACGAATCCATGTCCCCCACATCAGCAGGAGACTCTCAACCACTGACCACCAGGGAAGCCCTGAAACATACAAACTTTTATGTCAGCTATACCTCAATTAAAAAAAAAATGTGTATACTATCCACAGTGATGTTCAACACAATCCCTATCAAAATCCCAATGGCATTTTTTTTCAGAAATAGAAAAAAAGTCATTCTAAAAGTCACATGGAATCTCTAAGGAACCTCAAATAAACAATTCTGTAAAAGAAGAACAAAGTTGGAGGACTCAACTTCCTGATTTCAAAACATATTACAAAGTGACAGTGACCAAAACAGTGTAGTAGTGGCATAAAAACAGACAAATAAACCAATGAAATAGAATAAAGAGCCCAGAAATAAACCTCCAGGTTTATGGCCATTGGATCTTCAACA